CTCACTGTTTAAGGGGGTGTTTTTAAATCAAAATATGGCACCCTGTCCAAAATTGCCCCCCACAATGAATAGTACTTATATTAGTAGAAAAAGCGAACTTTTGCCCATTTTCATCACATTGCGGCCAATTCCTAACAATTTAACTGTTCTAAATTCTCACTGAATGTATAAAGGGTAAGTTATGCCCCAGCATGGTCCAAAGATCGTGCAAAATTCTACTGACATCACATCTAAGAGCACGGCGATTCTGAATGCTCAGTTGACGAAAAGGTTGTAAATAAATGGAATCAAATTTTTTCTATTTGTCATTCTTTTAATGCACTTACCTAGGAAAAGAAATCACATTAGTGTTACGTGTTAGTTTAGGGTATTATTGTTTTGTTATTAAGTGCATATCATTTAGTATGACACATTTAAAAAGTTACCTGGGGTTGTAAGTATAAGGCGATGTTCTGTATCTACAATTTTTTTTATGTTTCTTAAAATTATGGTTTGGTCTCTTTTTGAGTTTCACATTCATTGATTTATGTAATTAATAATTATCTGTATCAATTATATTGGCAAAGCTTTGGTATACCCGACCCGTGTCGAGAACGTACCTATGAGTAAGAGCGAAATGGAGCTACGGGAAATGTAGAGATGGATTGTATTCACCGGAGCGAAAGCGCTTCGTTTGTAAGTGAGTAAAAAGTTCGTTGTTTTACTTTTAATTACATATTTTGGTTACTATTGCACATAAAATTATAATTCTCAGTGCAATGTAAAGATAAACGATGAGCGAAACTTTTTTTAAGAGTAAAACTTTTTGATATAGGCTTCCGTTTATTAAATAATACGATGTAAACGCAAAAGTTGCTCAAAATTTGTCAAATTTTTAGGGATATCCAACTGAGATAATCGCGTTTGAAGTTTAATTCTTCCGTAAGACCCAATGTAATTGAAAACGTTTGATAATTTATTATTACTTTCACTGTACAAAGAAAATTTTGATTTATATACCAAAAAATTCGTTATTTTTTCGTCTTTCCGTACATGTGCTTAACTCGTTTTTCGCGTTTTGTGCCCTAATGCATGGACCGATTTTGGACGACCTTGACATTTAGAATCAGTATATGATGACCTTTCATTTTTTGTGAATTTCAGCTTGTGACACCAAAACCCCCACGGAAGTCATTTCTAGACGACTTTCTTTGCAACGAGCACTCTACTATTTATGAGTATTTCCTAATAGTGCCAATTGCGCCATTTGAATGCTGCCTCAATAATATACCTAAAGAAGGGGTTGTATCATTTTGGCCTACTTTCTGTTGTAATATTTGTGAATTTAATTTGCAAATCGATTAATGGCTTAAGTACTATGTTATCTCTACTCAGCTAACCACAATATTTGGTGCGCATTGTAAAGTCCCTGTTCTTATCCTTATCCTGACCGTCCACAAGCCACAGAAAACTGATTTCCTTTATTGTTAATTACACAATAGTATTGCGTACTATAGATTTTTAATTAATGTATATTGTACATCATGGGAGTCACAAATTCGCTATAGTTCCGTTTCCTTATCAAGCACTCTTCCATTATTACTTAATCAAGACCAAAACATTTTTTTTTCTGAATGCGTATTCAGACATAAATTAACAACAGGGTAATTAATGTTGCCGTCAGTTATAAAATGTAATGTCATGCATGTAAGTGTAAATTAATTAATCACTTTTTCGGCGTCTTTATACACATCAGTGTATCATTATTCGTCATGTGATATATATATTGCTACCAATTCAGTTATATTTAGTTTACAAGCTGTAATTCATTATCTCGTATAATAAGTACCTACCTGTACCTAATGTCTGGTATTGAAGTTCCTCTACCTTCCTATGGAAGTGAAATTGCCGTAGTACTTACACAGTATTCCCGTTGGAACGAGACGGTCTGTATGTAACGCATTGAGAAACGGCTTGACCAAATCACCTTCCTATGTGTACAAGTACATTCATATAATTTTCCGTTTTCATTTAAGTAGGTAATTGATCTATTAAATTAATTTTCTGAGAACGTTTTAATAACCTAAACGTCATCGGTGTTAAGTCAAGGTATAAGTTAAGTTTATTTTTTCCGAGGTATTTTACTACCGTGGATCTCCGCTGATTAAATTCATACGAACTTTTCAGTTTTCAGGAAGTTGTCTATAATGCAATAATGGTACAAAGTTATCCATAATCATTAAACATTGTAGTAAAGCAACGCAAGCGAGTAAAAGTGAGATCGGTTGCATGACGTTGTTGCGGTTGTAAGTTGATAATATCGATCAATGGAAGGGTTATGAAATATATACCACAGGCATTTTCGTACCTATATGCTATAATTTCCGTTTCAAATTTAGAGAATGGCTCACAATTTAAAATAGCCTACTTTCGTGGCCCAAGTGTAAAATCATTTTAACAATTTTTGTTGGAAAAATGCCAAAAAGGACTTTCCCGATAAATGAAAGGTAAGGTTCTGGTATTGTAGGGGTGTACTTTAACTCATTAATGTCTTGTTAAAAATACTATATTTTTGCCAATAGTATACCTATATCGGTAAAAATGGATTTATTCCACACATACGGACCACCCTGTATGAAACAGTCAACACACATTTAATTCACGACAGGAAACAAGAATAGAATACGAGATTTTCTCTAAAATTTTAAATACTTCGAAAACAAAATGCGCCAAAATATTTCTCATTCTTTTAAATAATGGGACGAGGGAGGATTAAATGCGGTCATCAAAAAATGATATAACTTCTTATTGTGTCATGGATTATTAACGAGCTCCTAGCGAGTTTATAATTTTGCGGTGTCTGTCCGTCCGTCCGTCCGTTAGCACGATAACTCATAAACGAATGGACCGATTACGATGAAATTTTGCAGGTGGATTATTTATCAAATTTGTAGATCGAAGTTCGTAAATTGGCAATGGAGCCCAAAAAATAAAGTAGGCCCTTTTGACATCTCCGGTAGTTATGAACCGAATTGTATGAAATTCAATATGCGCATAGCTTTAGCCATACATAATACAATTCCAAAAGTTGAGCCTAATCGATCAGCATTCACAGTGCCCTTTGCGCATCTTGACCATTTACAGACCGAATTGCAAACTTTCTTATTTATGAAGGTATTTAAATGAAATTTGATACATAGCCACTTGGAATAAAAGCAAATTTAACGCCAGTTTCAAAATTTGGTTTTGCGCATGCGCAGTGCCAACTTTCTTATTTAT